TCGGGCTTTCATACCATCAGGTCTAGATTTACAATCGTTACTTCCCTCAAACCGGACGCAAAAACTACTCCGCAATGCCCTTGCCTCTTGACTCGGCCTCAAATCGCCCTGAATCTATCCAAAATTAGAATCATAACATTAATACATGTCAAAGGAACAAAGCCCATGCGAAAATTTTTAAATTAAACTCAAATCCTGAAATTGGCTAAACCTGACCCCCGACCCACGTGTCAGAATCCGATAAAAATCACAACACTAGAATCCTTATCCTCTCACGACTCTATACATACCAAAATTATCAAAATTGGACCAAAAAATGGCCCCTCAAATCCCCAATTTAAACTCTCCAACTTCAAGCCCTAATTTCCTAATTTTTCACCCTTAATCTCTTCAATTTCCATGTTTAATGAAATTTACCATAGATACGAGTATTAAGTTCAAAAACCTTACCTCAACAAGAATCCCCTTGATTTTCGCTTCAAAACCCTCCAAAAGCTTCAATCCCGACTTCAAAAATGATGGAATGGGCTAAATTTCGTGAAAGGGGAACTTATATACTTTCTGCCCAGCGATTTCCGCATCTGTGGACAAAATTTTGCACCTGCGGGCCGCTTCTGCTCCCAAAATACGCACCTGCGGAATTCACTTAACTCATCAGACACCGCACCTACGACCCAGGTAGGTGCGATCTCGCAGATTCGGTCTAGCCTTCCGCTCCTGCGACCAATATTACTTCTGTGATCTCCTTTCCGCTTCTACGGCTCGCACCTGCGGTCCCCAATCCGCAGGTGCGATTATGACAGAAGCAGCAGCTGAAGCTGCTAAATTTCAAGACCAAACTTTTTGACAACCTTCCGAATACATCCCGAGGCCCCCGGGACCTCAATCAAAAATACGAACAACTCATATATCGCTATTCAAACTTATTCCAATCTTCGAAACACTCAAAATAACATCGAAACACCAAATCACCCTCGGATTTAAACCTAAGGATTTCAAAACTTCCGAATTCTGCAACCGATCCAAAAACTTATCAAACCTCATCCGAATGACCTGAAATTTTGCACACACGTCATAAATGACACAACAGACCTACTCAAATTTTTGAAATTCCATTCTAACCCCTATATCAAGATTTCCACTGCTGATCAAAAAATGCTAAATTTTTAATTTTGCCAATTCAAGCCTAAATCTACCACGGACCTCCAAATTATATTCCGAACATGCTCCTTAGTCCAAAATTACCTAACAAAGCTATCCGAACTATCAGAATTCACATCCGAGAACTTCTACACATAAGTCAACATCCGGTTGATTTTTCCAACTTAAACTTCCAAATAAGAGACTAAGTGTCTCATTTCACTCCATGACCATTTCAAACACTGAACAACCAGTACGATATGATGAAATACAACTGAACAACATATAAAGAAGTAGAAATGGGAAAAGCGGAGCGGTAACTCATGAAACGACCGGCCGGGTCGTTACACCCCAATTCCTTGTTAGCCATTTTTTCCTAGACGTAGACTCACTTTCTCAAGTAGAGACTAAGTCAATTAGGCATGAATCAATATTTGCAACCATTAATTCTTAAATTCAAGCAAGAACTAGCATAAATATCACTCCCTCAATCACAAACAAGCCCCAAAATTAAACACCCATTAGGTATCCACACTAGGGTTGGGTCATAACCCTAGCTAAGAAATTAGCTACTCATAGAGAAAATTGAAGAAAATAAGATTAAACTCATAATAGATGATAAAGGGAAGAAAATCCAATGTTAAAATGATAAATTATTACAAAGTTACCCAAAGCAGTAAAGGAAAATGGCTATTTATTTTCTGGTATTCGAACTTGACCTAATTTTGACAAAAAAGACTATTTATACACAACTGAAATTATCGGACAAAATTGCCCATACGGAGGTTCTGCGGCCGCACAATTCTGTATGCGGTCCGCACTTTGAAACTGGCTTGACATGATGGACTTCTGTGGCCGTACAATTCTGGGTTATAGCCGCACTTCTTCAGATTCCACGAACAACACATTTCTGAGTGCGGCCGCACTCTTGAACTTGAGCTTGACATGAGAGACTTCTGCGAACCGCACATTTCTGAGTGTGGCTGCAGTTTTGAATTCTACGGCTGCACAATAATAGTGATGCCTGCACTTCTTCATGGATCCAGACTCCCATCTCTCAGAACCTCATCTTCTGCGGCCGTACAATAATTGTGCGGTCCGCACTTTGCAAAGGAAATATGTTAGAGTTTCCTCATGGACTATGGCCACACTCAATATTGTGCAGTCCGCACTTTGCTCTTTTTGCTTTGTTTTAGTACTTGTTCAAAATTACTCCTTCTTGAGTTGATTTTCATCTCTCTGACTTGTATTCCAACACTCCTACAAGAAAGCACATTTCATCAATTTTCGAGAATACCTTTAAGCAATTTTGAGCTAGAACAAAAATAAAAGAGTGCAAATAAGTAGTCAAAATCCCAACTTATTATGGACCCTCTTGGTTCTTATTGTATCCGAACTTTACGGCACTTCAAAACTACTAATCTTATGTCTAAACATCATATAACATATACCACCCAATTTATTGCATTAGGTTGTACACTTCATATGCAAATCAACTTAATGCTATTTCTTGTAATGTTATGTTCTATTTTGAGTCACATTTAGCCGAACTTGAGAAAGTGAAGGCTCTTTGAGAAAGTTATATGCCAACCCTCAAAATCTACTATGCATTAGTACAACTATATGTGTGCATCATTGAAAAATATATATTTTATGTAATCTTACCTTTTTGATATCATACAACTGAAATGGAGCTCACTAAATCTGTTGGTAATGGGAGGATAATATCTTAGCTCGTAGCCTGCTTACCTGCAAAATCTGTGCCTACATTGACATAGGTCAATGTAGGTTCTCATGAAGAGAACGTTAGTACACCACAACGATACTCACTAAGTAAAACAATCCTCCCACTAAAGCTGGAACGAGACTTTGAAAGAAGTATGTATACATGATATAAGAAAATTCTAAAAGCTTCTGATGAAGAGTTGAAACAAATAACTCATATATCTAGTATAAATTTCTTCTTGATGTCATTCATAAAAATTCTCTTTCTTTTCTTTTCTGAAAAAAATATAAAATTCAAATAGATAAATATATAAACTTTCTCGAAACAATCCTTGTAAATTTTTTAAAATTTTTCTTTTCTTTTCTTTTCTGGGAAATTACATTGATTCTGACATTCTTTCTGATTTTGATTCTGAAAATGTCACCATATGATCGGTATGGTGGACGATCCCAACCCGATCGCCAGTTCAAGGTTCTAGCATGCTCGCGTTCTTGTGCCTTACCAGGGCACTTTTATCATAGTTTCCGAACCAATGGTACACTAATCTCATACTCTGATATGAGTAGTTTCGGGGTAACATAAACCACTCGAGGCTATGAGCCCTTCTCATAAATCTAAGGAAACTCCCAAAATATTCTCCTGAGTGATTCTTGTATCACAAAATTTAAAATAATGACATATATCCACAATTCTCACCAAAACAGTTCCATAAAATCATGGGGAAAAATTTCAATAGTTTATACATTAAAGAAATATATGCAAGTCATGGATGCATGAGACACATGATTTACGGAACAACATAATATTCTTGAGTTATTAACCATGATAATTATCTAAGGTCTTTTCTATAATTTTAATGGTAATGCGAGTCCACTCGTTCCATTAAGAGCCCACGTTAATGTCCTATACAGTCCAGCAATTGCTTATATCACGATATTTGTGGGAAGACAACTTTAGTAAAAGTATTATCTTTACTCATATTGATTCCTTGCTTTTGAGTACCTTCGTTTGCTCCAATCCAATGGGTTCAACTCACCAAACAAATCTATACATAGTTAATTTAAAATCAATACCAGAAGTTCTAAGATTTCCAAAATATAGAAACCCTAGGTTTGATTCTTCTCTTCTAGGGTTCATCGTTAATCTAAGTTCTTGTACTAGTTTATAGGAACAAATATCAATCATAAACCTCTCTAACAATCGTGGTTGAAAACGGTTACGAAACTTACCTTGAATCGTGAAACCCTAGGTTAACGGAAAGACCTTGTTCTTGAGTTCTTGTTGAGAATCTAGTGATTTTGAGATGGAATACTATTAGACTTGATGTTTGGAAGTAGTATTCTAATGTTAATCGCATTAAAAACTCACCTTAGGTAGTATGAGAACCCTGGGATGACTTGAGGATGAGAGGGGAGGATTAATCTTTAAAGAATGAGTCTATTTTCTCTCTCCTTGTCCCTTTTATTTCAATTTCATGCCTTCAGCATCACGGTTTGCGCCCAGCGCCAGCCAAAACGCCCCAAATAAAATTACTGCTGATTTTGGCGTTCTGATTCGCACCTGGCGCACCCTTGGGCGCCCAAAATGCGACCCCATTTTTTGACAAGATAGTCTTTAGTAAAACACCTATAACTTTTTATAGGAACATCGAAATGATGAACGGTTTGAAGTGTTAGAAACTAGACTTCAGGGGCTTTCTTTTAATATATAGCTCAAATCTCAATTCATTAGCTTTTGATAGATATTTTCATTGAAACTTAGGTCTTGTGTAATTAAGGTCATTTTTATCCCTTAAACAACTCCAATTCTCCTCTTATAACCATCCATTCAACCTTCTAAACATAACATTTATGTATTTTATACCTTCATAACTTTTCACACATCTTTGTATCCCACTTAGAGCTTGAGGGGAATATAATACTTAGCAAAGTTTTTCTGGGCTTTACAATTTATAGTTTGAACTTATATTTTTCTTCTTCGAATTTCGCGTGACTCATTGCACGTATATTCTAAAATATCTATATCGTTTTAAAATATTTGAATTAATTAGCATAAGATCCACTTGTCAAGAAACGAGTTTTAATAATATATAAGTGCTAAAAAGTAGATATAGATAGCAAAAACAGTACCCAAAAAAAAAAAAAAAAAAAAAAAAAACCGATACAACAAGTGAACCGATTGCGACACCGTACTTAGGACAAAACCCCCTTGTCTTCTCCAAATCCTTCTGCCGTCGATCGTCGAATCGATAATGCAAAGATAATTGACATGAGCAGAGAAGAGCTAGACAATCCCATGACAGTAAGAGCAAAACCAGCTTCACTAGCTATTGTAAATAACAATAACGGATACCACCGAGATAATGAAGAAGAAGAAGGAGAGTCAAAGCTCGAACCAAATGTCGGGTTAGAGTTCGATTCAGCTGAAGAAGCACAAGAATTTTACAATCTATACGCAACAAAACTCGGATTCAGAATTAGAATCGGTCAGCTTTATCGGTCCCGTGTTGATGGGTCAGTTATTTCTAGAAGATTCGTGTGTTCAAAGGAAGGGTTTCAAACTACTTCCAGAACGGGCTGCCCAGCTTTCATAAGAGTTCAAAAAGCCGATTCTGGAAAATGGGTTTTAGCTAATGTTAAAAAGGAACACAATCATGAATTCGAAACCTCAGGTGAGATTTGTCCTTCCCGTATACAAAGAAAAAATATTCCAAATCCTAAATCTTCTGTTGTTGTTGTGTCGACTAGGACTGGACTTAGATCAATTGATGAGGATGGCCCAGGCCCATCTGGGATAATTGATCTTAAGCGTTTTAAAAGGGAAAGAATTGATGTAGAAAGAATTGATGTAGAATTACAGCCTAGAGGTAGTGAACCATACAAAGGACTTGAATTTACTTCTGCGGATGAAGCATACGAATTTTATAATGCATATGCTGCTAATTCGGGTTTTAAAGTCCGGATTGGCCAGCTGTTTCGTTCTAAGAATGATGGGTCGATTACTTCAAGAAGATTTGTTTGCTCTAAAGAAGGCCATCAGCACCCGTCAAGAGTTGGGTGTGGCACGTTCATGAGGATACAGAGACAAGATACGGGACGATGGTTGGTTGATCGTTTTCAAAATGAGCATAATCATGAACTTGGCATGCCCGCTGATGCTAGTGGGAGAGTAAAAGGATTTAAAGAAGAAGCGAGCAGTGTGTTGGAGAATATGGAGTTAGTTGAATTAAATGGTGGCCTTAGCCTTGTTACACGAGGGAGAGAGAGTAGAATTGGGAGTGATTGGTATAATGAGCTTTTTGAGTATTTTCAGGCTAGGCAAGCAGGCGATATGGGATTTTTTTATGCAGTGGAAATGCATAATGGTAGAGCTTTGAGTGTATTCTGGGCTGATGCCAGGTCTAGATTTTCTTGCACTCAATTTGGTGATGCAGTTGTTTTTGAAACAACATATAGAAAGGAGGGTAGTTACTCAGTGCCACTTGCTTCATTCATTGGGATTAATCACCACAGGCAGCCGGTGCTTCTTGGCTGTGCCTTAATTGCGGAAGAGTCTGAAGAGTCATTTACTTGGGTGTTTCAAGCATGGCTTCGTGCAATGTCCGGGCGCCATCCTGTCTCTATGGTCGCTGATCAGGACAGAGCCATTCAACATTCAATTGCTCAAGTTTTTCCGGGAATACATCATCGTTTTTCTGCATGGCAAATTAAGGCTACAGAGCAGGAAAATATTGGTGCATTGCTCTCTATGAATCCTGAATTTAAGTATGAATATGAAACTTGCATTTTCCAGAGCCAGACTGCGAATGAGTTTGAAGCAGCATGGAATGTGCTAGTTAACAAATATAATTTAAGAAAGAACACATGGTTAATGGAGATGTATAGGATGCGCAAGAGTTGGGTGCCATTACACATTAGGGGCACATTCTTTGCTGGCATTCCAATGGACGGAAGCTTGAAATCATATTTTGGCACCATATTGACATCTCAAACACCACTCAGTGAATTTCTTATACGGTACGAAAAAGCCCTTGAGCAACGCCGCGAAGAGGAAAGGAAAGAGGATTTTAACTCGTTCAATTTACAAGCAGTTCTGCACACGAAGGACCCTATAGAAGACCAGTGTAGAAGGTTTTACACTATTACTATGTTCCAAGTGTTTCAGAAAGAGCTTTTGGAGTGCTATAGCTTTGTTGGAATTAAGATAAATGTTGAAGGTGCCATTAGTAGGTATCTGGTGCAGAAGAGTGGGAGTGGAGATGAGAGGAACACAGTTGCCTTTAATGCCTCAAATCTTAAAGTCAGTTGCAGTTGTAAAATGTTTGAGTTTGAAGGTGTGCTGTGTAGACATGCCTTGAAAGTTTTTCAGATTATGAACATAAGAGAGCTTCCGTCTCGCTATATCCTACATCGGTGGACAAAAGATGCAAAATATGGTATACTGCGGGATGTTGATTCAGGGGGTGCTTCTCAAGATCATAAGGCATTGATGTTGTGGAGCTTAAGAGAAGAAGCAAAGAACTACATTGAGGCAGGAACAGCATCTTTAGAGAGATACAAACTTGCGTTTGAGATCATGCAGGAGGGTAGAAGAAATCTTTGTTGGCAAAACTAGGGAAGTACGTGGTATAACAAACATAGATCAGAGGTATTTTCCTCCTCTTCTGCCTTTTGTTTCATCACTATGAGTTGATCTGAATCTCCAGTGATGACTTTCATAATTTGTACTGCATGTGCTAATTTTTGCATTTTTTCCACACAAAAGAACCGCTTATATATTTCTTTTGCCTTCTCCACGCAGAATTACTTAAGTATCATATTGCATTGTGATTTCTTATTCATCTGAATCAACCATTCATAAGCACAGATACCATTTTATTCCCTGGCGAAATTTTCCCGCGCTTGATCAATAATCATATTATATTGCGTTGTGATCTGCAGTTATTTTTTTGATATGATTCATTTCTGAGTACGAGTTAGCGCTCAATATTATGTGATATTTTCTCAAATAATGCATGTGCAGACGTCGTTGAATTACATGTTTTTCTACCAAGTGTATCAAATAACTATGTTTTTTCTGTTTGATTTATTCAACTGCCCTGTCCTTTTTTTTGGATACGTTCAACATAGATAGACGGCCCCTTAAAGTTGCCACAACTTTTCACTTAGACACCTCAACCGATGTTGTTTCCTATTGAACACCCCTATTAAACCTTCCAATGACAACCAATCAAGAAAATAAAATGCATTTCATTCATACACGGATGATGTGGCGAAGTGACGAATGAAACGAAGACATGTGGCATTTGGGCCTGTTTCGTTTCAATAATCAATAAGCATTTTCTAAAAATAGAGGTTCTCTAATATTGATACTTTTTTCTATATTGATATACAATTCTTTAACCAAACTAAAATTTCTCCCAGACACGACCTAAAATAAATGTCACAAATAACAAAACAACAACTAAGCCTTAATCAATTTGGTATCATTTATATGGATTTTTGTTACTTCCATTGTTTTCTATTCTTGCTCAGTCCACATGGATTCCAAGACTCTCCATGTTATTTTAGGTCAACCTCGTCCCTTTTTAACATGTTCAATCATCATAGTATCACTTCTAAGAATTGGTGCATTGGGAGGTCTCTTTAATACTGAACTCAGATATCTCTTTCTCGTGGGTCTGTGGGCTGCTTGCCCACTATTTGGGTCTGATCATTTCTAATAGTCGCCAGCTTCTGTTGAACTTGATTCCTAGGTCAGAGACTCTTGGTCATCTTGAAAAGGGATAGTCTTGCAGAACATTGAAGCCAATGTCAAATTTTTGATGATCAACTCTGTGCAATCTTGTCGCAGTCTGTTGTACCAACAATTTTGGTAAATTCCAGAGCTTTCAAGACTTGTTGCATATTTTGGATTAGACCAGAGTTGCCAATGATAATTCAAACATTGTTGGTGCCACCGAAAAGTAAGCCTTCCTCAAGCAAACAAATCATCATATGTCTTAATTTTCTTTCTCAACCACAAACTACAACTGTGAATTAAAGATGTTCCTACAAATTGATACTCTCTAGTTTCTTAGTAAAACTGGACAATTGTGGTACTGAAAGAAGCCTGGGGAAAATGGAAAGTTGGAAAATCCATCATCGGCCTGTGGAAAATGGTTCCTCCAGTGATCATATGGTTCATTTGGAAAGAAGGATCTCAATGCTGTTCTCATGGAATTTCAACTCAGATTCATTTTCAAGGCTAGAATTTTGATGAATCTTTGTGCTTGGAGCAGACTATGTATTGTAAATAGTATTGACACTCTTTTGGATTTTGTAAGCTCCTTAAGTTTTTCCTAGGAGTCATCTGACATCGTACAGAAGCTGTCTTTTTTGTAATCTTTTTGCATCTTCTGGATGCTGAATGAATGAAATTTATTCTCTTGATAAAAAAAAGAAAAACTGGAAAATTGTGGTACTGTCCTTCGAGCAACTGCTTCTTGATATTAATTACTGTATTAAACACGTCAGGATCAGATTCTGATTGGCATGAAAATGATGAAGCGACCACTCAGTTTTCTATTGTCATAGCTCATGGGCATATATTTGATAACTTAGTCACACATGTAATCACTATGAGAAAATCACCCAATTGAAGAATCATCTGGTCAGTCATTTTCGAACCAAGGGTTTAAGTAAGCTAGAGTACTTTCTTGACACTGAGGTCACTCAAATGGTGTTTCTTTTTCACAAGGGACACATGGGACATTCTTTATCTGATAGTGTTGAGTCATATTAAGATCTAATTCTTAATTAATCTTCAAATCGTTAATTTTTTTTTACATGTAGGCGGTCCTGCACTATTTGGTGTTTGATTTCAACCTAAGTTCACTAGTCTGGTAATTGGTTCAAGCTTAGCAAAAAGTGTCTAGTGCGATTGTTAAGAGGGCTTGAATGATATCCACCTAACTGTTTCTTAACCATTAGCATCATTGCTGGGGAAGGAGTTCTCTTTATGTTTCAGTCCTTGCTCCCCGCTGATTAGACTGTGAATATGATGCTGATTACTGAGTATGCATCCGTCAATGTCTTTTATTCAAGTTTTGTTACAAGCTCATTTTTCTCTTTTCGGAAATGCTGCTTTGGTTGGTTACTAAATAATAGAACATTTGACCAGTGCCTTGTTCTACTCAAGCCGGCATCTTACTATTGAGTTATTTATTTCGGTTTATATTATGTGCTGATTTTGTATAGCATCAGCTTTTCAATTCAGGCCTTGCTCTCTGATTAGACTGTCGATAGGATGCTGAGTATGCATTCGTGAATGTTACTGACCCCAATTTTGTCTATAGCACATTTTCTATTTCTAGAAATGCTGCCTTGGTCACGATGTGCATAATCGCCAAATAATAGAACAGTTTACTGGTGCCTTGTTCTACTAAGAGCTAAATATTTGTACTGAACCAAAGTGAAACTTTGGGGGGAATTTAAGAACGCTATACTCCTAAACGTGGAAAATATGAAGAAAATTAGAGTGTGGACTGAAAGATGGTGTGAAGGATTTTTTTTTCTTTTTTCTGGCCGGTCAGGAATAAGGGATGTTTGTTGGCAGATTGCATCTCTGATACAGGGTGGAACTTCCAGTCAAGAAAAAGATTTAATGATTGGCAAATAGTTGAAGATGTCCTCTCTTCTTTTTTTTTTGGTTTGTGTGTGTGTTTGCAGAAAATGCAGATTGTTGGCTTGGAAGCAAGCAAGGAAGATATCCAGTGGTGGTTAGCAAAAGCAGCAAAGGAGTATAATATTCACCGTAAAGCTCTTGCTACAACTGGCTGCAACAACAGAGTGTTGAGTATGAACAGCTGCGGCCATGGAAATCAGTCTGGAAGACTATTGGTCCACTGAAAGCTTCCTGTTTTAGGTGGCTTGCTGCTCATGGGGCCTGTTTAACACATGGCATGATGCAAAAGAGACGACAATTTGAGTGAAATTTCAGTTGAAACAGTGAGCCACATACTGCTGCATTTCAACTTGTTATGCCAGGTTTGGCCTCTATTTCTGAATGTATTTAGTATTAATTAGGTAATGCCTCAGAGCTTCAGAGAATTACTTATTATTTAGCATTCACAGAGCGTAGATAAGAGATTTAAGTGGATCTTGAGGGTTAGTTCCTTTATGTGTAGCATGGACTATTTGGCTGGAACGAAGTAGAAGAAGCTTTGGAGATAAGATGGAGGTCATCGCAGTTGTGAGATATTGGCGGAAACGGAATTTTTTCTACTGATCAGTCGGGGAAAAGGTGAAGCTATGCAAGGAAGATGGAGGATCAGGTGTTAGAAATTGAGGGCTCCATAATAAGAGCCTATAATTGAAATGGTTGTTGAGGTGGAATGACAGTAAAAGGGAGCTGTGGAAAGCTGTAATCAAGTTAAAATATGGGTTTCAGAATTATGGGGACACAACTAAATATTAAGTGCAGCACATGGATGTGATTTCTGGAAACATATAAACTGTTTGTGGGATAAATTCCAAGAGCTTATTTGATTGAAGATTAGGAACCGGAGAAGACTTAACTTTTCCAGTGCAGCAAGAAGAGTAACATAATATTCTAATGAACAGCCAACGTTCCTTTTTTTGATGTGTTATTGTCTTTGAGAGGAAGAATATGTGAATATGGACAATGTAGGAACTTTGAAATCTTGCAGCCATGATCTTAAATATTGTACCTTAAATCACAACATAGCATCAATAAGAGTTTTACCTTTTATGAAAGCCTTGTATTTAAGTGGAGAAGGGTAGATGGGTGGGCCCATTATCCACTGAGTTTCGAAGGTTGTGGTTGGTCCAAAGGATCGGCCCCAGAAGAGTTTTACCTTTTATGAACTGACGGTATAACTAATATTTTAATTGTGGGTCACTTGAAAGCATATAACAAGTAAAATTTGTGGCAAACATGACTTGGTAGCATGTAAATCATGATAAGCAGAGGCCTATGGTACTCGTAAAGTTCGGCAAGAATTTCATGTATACATGTATATGTCTTTAGAAAATAGTGATATACTTACTAGTAGTGATACACTACATGGAAAGCAGGTTTTGGTTGAATCCAGAACTGCACCCGCAATCTTCAAATCCTGGGTCCGCCTCTGATGATAAGTGACCCGTCGAGATTATCATGTAAAAGCTTAAATCTTTCCTCCACAGAGTGTAGGAGTTTTTGGGTCACATAGCTATGGTATTGAAGCTCTTATTTTGGGGATTTAATCAAAGACATCTTTGATAAGAGGACAAATGGAAGAAAAATCTCGTGAACTTGGAAAGAAAAAGAACTAAAAGGAACTGTAATTCAGCCGCTATTGCTAGGAAACTATAGTTTGTAAACCAGAGAAATGAAGAGGTTCTGTAGTTTTCAATTCAGTTATTCGTTTTATTGTAGAAATCAGACGAAGCAAAGAAAATTAGTTTTAAAACAAAGGATTAGCTCCTCGTTTGCGAAAAGTTGGAAAGAAATGAAGGGGAAAAAAAAAAAAAAAAGTAAGGGGCATTCCGAGAATTGAACTCGGGACCTCTCGCACCCTAAGCGAGAATCATACCACTAGACCAAATGCCCATACAAGGTTTATATTAAAATAAAAATGCTTTCCTTCTCAATTCTCCTTACCCGATCTGGTATTTCGTTTTCAATTTTCCTTCAACTAAAACAATTTTTTTGTTAAGGATATATTAATGTTTTTAAATAATATATACCAACAGTGTAAATGATCTTTTACATTATCGCTGTATTTTAACATGATATAGCAAGCTAATTATCATAGTTGATAATCATGAATTCCAGTGATAGGCACCAATTAAATGTACCCTCTGCCTTGTTTAACTGTCAAGATTTTGCCTTTTAATTTTTTTTTTCTTTTTTCCTTCTATTTTATCATTTCCCTGTTAGCATGCAGTCTCTTGTATGGTTTATAATTAAATGTCTCCATGGTTGTGGTTTTTTATGGTAATTTCTTTTTCCAGTTGTGTGTATTTGCTCTAAAATAGTTTTTTCTGCTTTTAGGACCAAAACACATTACACTATGTTTATCCAATAAATATATGGCATGCATGTATCTTTACATGCATGTATCCAATTTAGTATTATTAACCATCTATATCTATATTATATTAAAAGGAGAGTAGTATGCATTGTGGTTAAGCCAAGTGACAAGCTAAAATGAAGCCACTTGGCAATTTTAAGAAAATATCTATAATTACAAAGTATAAATGGAAACATAATTAATGGAAGTAGTTGAATGAATCTTATACATAATTTAGATAGATCTTAGACAAATTTAATCTATTATCTATATTTATATTTATATGTATATTTATATCCATATCTACTATATTTAGATCATATAATGATCTACTCATAGATTTTCTTCTATATTAACTAGAAATATGGAGGTAAAAATTTAATTTAAAAACTATAGTAGAAAAAAATAAAAAATATAGAAAGACGTAAACTGAGATAACATAGGACTATCTATACTTTGGAGTAAGTTAAAAAATAAAATAAAACAAAAATTTACTTAAGATATTAAAGATTTATTGACTTTAAAAATTAAAAAAATTCAAGAAATAAAATAAGATCTTACATAAAATATACAAATTATATACAATGTAAAAAAATTAAATAATCGGTGAAATATATTTTAATAACAAGAATAATAAAGTCATATTAATATTGATAAATCGGACAAATGGATATTTTATACATAAATAAATATTTCTTATATGATTAAATAAATTTAACTTAAGAAGAACAAATCTTAACCACTCGGACAAAATTTATAAATATTTACAAAATCTAATAAGAATTAAGGCAAAACAAATTTGATCAAATTTAACCTAAATGTATAAATCAACTAATATTGACTTCTAATTTTATTGTAAATAGATTCCAAAACTTTCTAGAAATAAGAATTTTTATTTTAGAATTACTAACCACATGATCCCTTTTCTTCCATTTCATATATATA